GGCTCTCGAGAGTAGCACTCCTCACTCCGCTGGTGAGGAGGGCCGCAGGCGGCCTCCTGCTCTTCTGACGATGGTTCTTGACTCGCTGTCTCACTGCAAATGCTACTGTGGGCCCAAAGGGAAGCCATTCATGCTGCTCCGCTGCTTGTTTGCTTCGCTGCTTCTCTTGTGCTTGCTTGGCCCCACTTTAGCGGCCCCGAACTCGGTTGTTTGTGGGTGTCTGACGGTGAAATTTGGTTCACAGTGATCAGTGAGGCACGCTGGACCACATGCAGGTCATTGCGACGGCTCACAATGAATAATGTCACCGGCTTGAAAAATGCACATGGTCAATTGCAACACGACAAGGAAGGGTCTGGGCAAAAAGTTGACTTTCTCCAGCCGAAGCTAGCTTTTTGAGCTTGCAGCTGTCGATCTGTGGCGAAAGGTGACTTTCTGGAGCAAAAAGACCGCTTTCTCCACCAAAAAGATGGCTTTTCGACAAAAAGCTGCCTCGCCATTGCAAAAAGATAGATCATCCATCAAAAAGATAGCTTTTTGACCCAAAAGGGTGACTCTGCTAAGCTCCGTGAATTAGGTTACATACCCTCACTCGTAGAGCCCTGTCTGTACGTACATCCATCGAATGGTACTGTCGTTGCTCGTTTTGTAGATGACATGCGTGTAGCTGGCACAGAGCAGGCAATGGATGCATTTGAGCGTGATTTCGGATCTGTTTTCAAAATAGAGCGTCGACATGGCTGCTTTTTGGGCCTCGACATCACTTACTCTGATGGCATTTTGCGCATCGGTCTGTCGTCTTACATCGACAAACTGGCTGCCCGTTTTGGCCTTGCCTCCACCAAGCCTGTCTCCACTCCTCTGCCTTTGCGTGTCGACCTGTCCATTGACATGGACCAGCCAGCGTCAGACCAGGCAACACTTTTCCGTGCAATGGTTGGATGTCTGAATTTTTGTGCTGTGACTGTGCGTCCCGATCTGTCTCTCACTGTCAGTCGACTGTCTCGTGCATTGCATCATCCACAAGCACGTCACATCCATGCTGCGTTTCATGCACTCACTTATCTGTTCCATGCGCGGCAGAAATGCCTTATGTACCGACCGACTTCTCTCTCATCTATCTCTGTTGGCGATCGTGATGTCATGGTTTTGCCTGTCCATGCGTACAGTGATGCCTCGTGGTCGGAGACAGAAATACAGCAAAGGGCGACGTCAGGTAGAGTGCTGTTTTTGGCCGACTGTCTTGTCATGTGGGGTTCACGTGCACAGTCAACACCTGCCAGAAGTGCTTTTGAAGCCGAGTTCACTGCTGTAGCTGCATGTGGCGCGAGTGTCCGATACATACAGAATGTAATGCGTGACTTTCTGCCTGTCAATGCTGGCTGTGTGCCTGCCATGTGCACCGTTTATAGTGACAATGACATTGCATTGAAGGAGCTGCGTGGCGATTTGAGAGCCACACAACGCACAAAGCACATTGATCGCGACTTTTGGACGTCTCATTTTGAGTACCAGGCAGGCCTGTACTCAGGCAGTGTGAATCCGGCTGACCTACTGACTAAGAGTCTTGACAGTGCAAAACACAAGCGCTTCACTTCTATGCTGTTGAGTGATGCCTCTGATGCATGATTGTCCACCTCCCAGCTTCGCCGTGAGGTGAGAAGGGGTGTTGGGTTTTGACAGCAGGGTTTGTGCTTGCTTAGCTTGCAGAGCTGTCTCTCTATTTCGTGCATATCCGGTGAGCGTTGGCAGCTCTCGTGCGTGTGTTGCTTGGCGGGCTGGCCATGCCCATGATGGACTCGTGCGTTGCGTGCCTTGCCTGAAGGCTTGTACGGCAGAGATTGATCCTTCTGACCACGGTGTGTGTTCGGCACACAGCAACTTCAACAACTGCC